TCTGCTCCTATGATGCTGCTTGGCCTGCTGTGTTCATCCAGCCCTGCACCTTGTTGTATAGAAAGATTGTTGAGGTTGTTGGACGTCAGTTGTCTTTGCTCCAGTGATGGGCTGCACTGTGGCACAGTGGTTAGCACTGCTGCCTCACAGTATCAGGGACCATGGTTCGATTCCAGTTTGGGTGACTGCTTATGTGGAGTTTCCATATTCTCTCAGTGTCTGCATGCATTTCACCAGGTGCCCCGATTTCCTCTCAGTCCATAAATGTGCAGGTGAGGTGGATTGACCATGATAAAAATTGCTCCATAGTGTCCAGGGATGTGCAGGCTAAGGGTGTTAGCCATGAAAAATGCAGTGTTGTGAGGATAGGGTGGGGGTTGGGCCTGGGTGGGATGTACTTTGGAGGGTTGGCATAGACTTGATAGGCCAAATGGCCTCTTTCTGCACTGTAGGGATTCCATGTGTCTATTCAATGAGTCTCCGATTCAACCATCTTCAGCTGCGTCATCAATGACCTTCCCTCCATCATAAAGGTCAAAAATTGGGATGTTCACCAATGATTGCATAATGTTCAGCACCATTTGCAACTCCTCATGTACTAAAGCAGTCAATGTTGAAATGCAACAAGATCTGGACAATATCCAGGCTTGGGCTGTCATGTAGCAAGTAATAATTGCACCAACAAAAGCCAGGCAATGACCATTTCCAACACAAGACCATCTAACCACTACCCATTGACATCCAATGGCATGGCCATCACCAAATCCTTGACCTGTAACATACCAGGGATTACCAATTGACCAAAAACTGAATTGTATTAGCTGTATAAATACAATGGCTACAACAGCAGGTCAGAGGCTGGGAATCCTGTATGGAATATCCCAGATGACCTCCTATTTCCAGGACCATAATGTCTCCCCTCCGGTGATCGAAAATGCCCTCAACTGCATCTCTCGCATTTCCTACACTTCTGCCCTCATACCCCTTCCCCCCAGCAAAAATAAAGACAGAATCCCCCTTGTCCTCACATATCACCCCACCAACCTCTGCATCCAGTGTATCATTCTCCGCCACTTCTGCCACCTACAATCCAACCCCACAACCAAAGAGATATTTCTCTCCCCACCTACATCTGCCTTTCATAGGGACAGTTCCCTCCACGACTCCCTCATCCGCTTCACACTCCCCACTAACGTCACCATACCTGGCACCTTTCCCTGCAACCGCAGAAAGTGCCCTCATTCTGTGAGTGAATTAAAAAGAACTTCTCTAAAGTCTGAGATAGTTGGAACTGCCGATGCTGGAGAATCTGAGATAACAAAGTGTAGAGCCGGATGAACACAGCAGGCCAAGCAGCATCAGAGGAGCAGGTAAGCTGACATTTCAGGTCAGGACCCTTCTTCAGAATTCTCTAAATTCTTCACGTTCTTCCTAAGGTTAGATGGTCTTGTGTTGGAGATGGTCATTGCCTGGCTTTTGTTGGTGCAGATATTACTTGCTACATGACAGCCCAAGCCTGAAGAAAGGCCAAAGGACCTCAGCTATTTATTGTTGATATTTATGACTCGGACAAAGAGTCAAATGAGAATGTATCTAAGTTCATTGACAATATGAAGCTAGTGGAAACGCAGACTCTGAGGAGGACATGAAGGGACTATGAAGAGATACAGAGAAGAAGGTGAGCAACAAGGAGACAGATGGAGGTCCCTCACTTTAGCAATCATAATGTAAAAGCAGAATAATTTTTAAAAGGTGTACCTTTTTTAATCCACTTATGGGATATGGGTGTTGCTGGCTGGGCCAGCATTTATTATCTGTTCCTAGTTGTCCTTCAAAAGTTGGTGGTGAGCTGCCTTTGTGAACTGCTACAGTCCACGTGCTGTATGTACACCCACAATGCTCTTAGGGCCAGAATTCCAGGATTTTGACCCAACGACAGTGAAGGAACAGTAATATATTACCAAAGCAAGTTATTAAACTTGAAAAGACGCAGAGAAGATTTACAAGGATGTTGTCAGAGTTAGAGGGTATGAGTTATGGGGAGAGGCTGAATAGGCTGGGGCTATTTTCCCTGGAGTGTTGGAGGCTGAGGGGTGACCTTGTAAAGGTTTATAAAGCCATAAGGGGCAGATCGGGTTATCATTAGACCCTTAATTCCAGATGCTTTATTGAACTCAAATTCCACCATCTGCCACGGCAGGATTTGAACCCGGGTTTCCAGGACATTAGCTGAGTTTCTGAATTAATAAAAACCAAAAGAACTGCGGATGCTGTAAAATCAGGAACAAAAATAGAAGTTGCTAGAAAAGCTCAGAATGGTCTGTAGTTCGGAGGAAGGGTCACCAGACCTGAAATTTAACTCTGATTTTTCTTCACAGATGCTGCCAGACCTGCTGAGCTTTTCCAGCAATTTCTGTTTTTGTTTCTGGATTAATAGTCTAGCGATAATACCACGAGGCCATTGTTTCCCCTAGTATGCAGAAAAGATTCGCAATAATTATTTTTATTTTTCTCAAGAGATGTGGGCATCTATGGCTAGGCCAAAATTTAATGACCATCCTCAACTGCCCTGAAACTGAGCGATTTGCTCAGCCATTTCAGAGGGCAATTAAGAGTCTGTCACTTTGCTGTGTGTCTACAGCCACAAGTAGGTCAGACCAAGTAAAGATGACAAATGTCCTTCCCTAAAGGGT